TTGAAAATTTAGCTTTATCTTGACATGATTTATACTACCCTACTTGCAGACTGAGTAGCTTCGATCTTTCCTAGATAAGTTCGGATAAGTTCGGATAAGTTCCGGCCCGTTTTAATTTGCGATGTACGTAATTTTCGGAAGAAAATAAGGTTAAACTACAAACGAAACTTTCCGATTTTTTATTGATCTGTTTGCCTTCTGAAGCTCGATTGTCGTAGGTGAATTTTGTTCTGTTATTTTTTCTTTTTTATGGCGCCTTAAATTACTTGGATGCATTTTTAGTTCAGGTATGCAATTAAGTGTTAAGAAAGCTAATTTTTGGTGTACACGGCGTACAAGAAATGTTCTTTCGACTTGCAAAAAAAAAAAAATTCGGTGGACTGGTTGAATTTTAAAACCAAAGTTTAGATAATATTCCAAAATAAATTTTGCGTACTATGTCCTTGGTCCGGCCAAACTAGCCAAATAGTGATTGAAAAGGGAAAGCCTGTTTGAAAATTTCCCAGTAACACTGCCCTTTATTTATTAAGCAGTGATATAGAAGGCCATAAAATGAAACTTATATTTCATTTGGGAGCTGTAGCATTTAGCAAAGTCAAAAAACTTGGCAAGCAATGGGCCTAACAAGGAAAATATTACTCTGCACGTCCTGCACGTGCATGACGCACGCTTTTCGGTCGCGGCATGACTTAGACAACATTTTGGTGATGGGAGGTGTTTCTTGAGGACGCAAACAAGCGACGACAGATATTTTTTCCCTCTAAACTTTGACTGAATTCATTTAAAATGGTGGCGAATTGACCTTTTCACGGTTTAGTTTCTTCGAGAGACCAAACGTTAGCTCTTTACACAGAAATCTCAGTTTGGTTTCGAATTTTAAGTGAGCAGCCTATAAAAATTATACAGGAATTTAGATCAGATGGTGCTTGGAAGGTTTCTTTTTACGCACTTTTGATGTCGGCTTCCAATTAAACCACTGGCCGGACCAGGGGCTTTCAAACGGAGCGGTCATTTTCTATGATGCACGATTTTCGGCAAAGCTCAGAAGCTCTCCGTTTGTCACAAGTTAGTAAAATGTTACTGCAACTTTCAGGACAAATTTCAGCTCACTGCTCTTCTTCTGAGATAAGAAATACTCATTTATGTCTTTTTCGTCCGGACCGTGATCGCAACGAGAAATTCGGCCGAAAACCATCTGCGATCAATGACAGCGATTGCGGCGCGATCGCTCCAATCGCGCCGCGAACTTCGGCCAAAAACGCTAAGCGATCGACAACAGCGATCGCTGAGCGATCACTGCCATCTCGCCGCGAAATTCAGCCAAAAACGCTAAGCGATTAATGACAGCGATCGCGGCGCGATCGCTCTCATCGCGCCGCGAAATCCGGCCAAAAACGCTAAGCGATTGATGACAGCGATCGCTCAGCGATCGCTCTCATCGCGCCGCGAAATCCGGCCAAAAACGCTAAGCGATTGATGACAGCGATCGCTCAGCGATCGCTCTCATCGCGCCGCGAAATCCGGCCAAAAACGCTAAGCGATCGACGACAGCGATCGCTCAGCGATCGCTCTCATCGCGCCGCGAAATCCGGCCAAAAGCGCTAAGCGATTGATGACAGCGATCGCTCAGCGATCGCTCTCATCGCGCCGCGAAATCCGGCCAAAAACGCTAAGCGATTGATGACAGCGATCGCTCAGCGATCGCTCTCATCGCGCCGCGAAATCCGGCCAAAAACGCTAAGCGATTGATGACAGCGATCGCTCAGCGATCGCTCTCATCGCGCCGCGAAATCCGGCCAAAAACGCTAAGCGATCGACGACAGCGATCGCTCAGCGATCGCTCTCATCGCGCCGCGAAATCCGGCCAAAAGCGCTAAGCGATTGATGACAGCGATCGCTCAGCGATCGCTCTCATCGCGCCGCGAAATCCGGCCAAAAACGCTAAGCGATTGATGACAGCGATCGCGCCGCGATCGCTCCCATCGCTCCGCGAATAACGCAGCGATCGCGCCGCGAAATCCGGCCAAAAACGCTACGCGATTTTGACAGCGATCGCGCCGCGATCGCGGCGCGATCGCTAATAAATTTTTACAAGGGGCGTGAGTCCCTTGGTGATAACTTTTGAATAAGCTCAACAGCCTTGCGACTGTTCTGTTATTCCCACTTTGTGATCAGGCAAGACCATGGTTTCGGTTCTCCACGTGAACCTCATCAGTTGCCAGGTTGGCTTTTTTTTAGTTGCTTCTACAAGAGCAAATCTAGTTATTCGTTCTGTGCTGTTATTTATTCTGCTCCAGTTATTTGTTTTGTAAATTGTGATTATGTCAAGTGTTGATAGTGGCTGGGGCATTTTTGACAGATGTTGACAGATTTCCATGGAAGAGCCAATCAGAGTTTTGCATTGTGAGAGCTACGCATAAGTTCAAAAGTTTGGGCTTTGTCTGCAGCCCCTCATTTTTCTCTCTTCCTGCTGCGTGTCGCCTTTTCTCGTGTGGGGTGATTTTCACGTGTGCTTGCGTTTCGCTCGCTCTACTATCCCTGAGGACAAATGGGGGACTACTTGTAGTCTACTTGAAAGGCGCTTTATGCAGTGAAAAATACCTCTAAAGGAGAAAATGTAAGTGCAGGTCTGACAGTAAATTGCAAAATTTTTATTATTGTGTAGTCTTGTTCCAGTTTGCAGAGTATCAACTGTTACACTTTTAGACCATGAAGCCATGAATTTTTGTCTGTAATGAACAGACAAAACTTTTTGTCTGTAATGAATCAGAATGTGATTGCACAATATGCAAATAATTCCTCTTTCTGCTACAATGTTCTAGTTTTAGCTGTTTTGTACAAGTTAATTAGACTTCTTTTCATTGCGAATGGGTTCAGCATTTAAGTTTCCTAAAATTACCAGCATCACATTACCTCGGCGCTCTGCAAGCCGGACACCTCTCTAAGACGTCTTAGAGAAAGTTGATAGTACTGTTTCGTGCTGCTGAACAGGGTATACAATTTCACTATTTTACTATTTAGCATTTTGAAAGGGTGTCTTTTTGGACTGGAGGCAAGGTGAACCAAATGACTGCTCCATTATTTTCTCATTTTATCTTTTCCAGATGGGATGGGGTGATTTGGGAGTATTTGGCCACCCAGCAAAAGAGACACCCCATCTGGACAATATGGCAGCAGAAGGAATACTCTTTCCAGATTTCTACTGTGCAAATCCACTTTGCTCCCCTTGTAAGTGTTTTGTTTCTTAAACTCTCACATTATATTAACTGAGGTTAATTTGTTCCTTGGGTAAATTTGTTTTCAAGCCAGGTCTATTGGTGAACTATTACAGTCAATTCATTTTCAGCTGAGGTCGTAAAATGGGCGGAAAATGGTTCGATTGTACATTATCAACTAGTTGTCTTGCAATGAATGATCTTCAATTATCAAGGCACTGAAAAAAGTACTTGCCAAATTTTCCAAACCCAAAAAATCCCAAAAAGGAAAATTTCAAATTGTCATATATGGAAGGTTAAACTCATCTCCATGAGGAGAGTCATAGACTGCTTGCAGTCCGCCTTTTCTCTTAAAATCGGTCTAGTTCTTGATCTCATCCAGTGTGATTGCATACCACGATGTTATTATATAGGGATCGAGATGAGATGAGAAAAGACAGACTGCTGACTCTTTTGTAGTAAACAAACCCTCCGTCAGCCAAGAAACGGAGTAACCGATTGGTCAATTGCACAACTGGTGAGATTGCAAGCAATAAAAATAGTCACGCATCACAAACAACTGCAAACGATAGCGAACCAAGCAGTAATCTCTGTAATAAAACTTTTAAGGATATCTTACAGAAGGAAACTGCTGTAAATTTCCTCAAGGGAAACGAATTCAAGGCAATATTACTGGATTTAAAGAAAGTGTAAGATTTTCAGTTGTTTATCTTCTATTTATAAATCGTTTCAAGTTACTTGGGTTTAATTGATAAATTAAATTACCTTGACAGCTTCGTTTTCCCCAGACAGAACAAAAGAGTCAGCAGTCTCTTATTTTTTCTTCTCAGGCTTACGCCCTTGTTTCTCGCGCAAGCCGCTTCGCCACTTGCGTGCTTTGCATGTAGTAACTTTGCAAAGAAAAATAAGAGACTGCTCGCAGTCTAGGAGAGTCAGGGATAGGTGCCTGAAAGCTCCTTGCAGGTGGCATTAAGTGAATGCAGAAGATAAACATGCAGACAAAATACCCTGTGAGCAGCAACCACAGACACCATCACACTGAATTGTTGGCTTTCACTAGTGTCACTGACCATCAAAGATCAAAACCATTCAGTAGATTAAGTCCAAAATCTGGGAAATGAAAGGAGGTGAATATCCAAACAGCCTTGCCAAGAATCAGGTCTGTGCAATTTTACCAAATAAGCAAGATACTGAGGAATGTCTTACCCAAATTTATAGAGCTTTGTATGGAGACGCCATGTTGGTATCCCTCATGAGGGGCACCAACATGGCAGCTGGAAACCAACAGTAACATCTGTCACTGAGTTTTGCTACAATATTGTTTGATCATTACTTGAGGAACCCTGTCAGCTGCTTTTAAACCTCATGAAAGTAAAACTTGGAACTTGATAATTTTCAATTTGAATTTTGCTGACATCACATCCAGCCATTCAGCCCTCAGTGGAAAAGTGAAATACTTACCAAAAAACAAAATTGTAACCTCTGCTTGTGAAGAGCAGTTATGTGAGCTAAGTGGTTTGACCAAGTCAACTGGAGATGTAAGTTCATGTAAAAGCCCTCAAGTTATCTCACATATTAGTGAACAAGGAGACCATTGACCAGCATTGTATATTCAGTTTAACCGGACCTAAGTTACATTTAGCTGGTTATCATTTCACTAACCAGGTTCAGATTCAGGTTACCATGGTGAGCAGAACCCTAACAAAGAGCAGGGTGCAAAGAAGATCATTTTTACAGCTTGCCATTTGGGCAGGCTGAAGCTAGCATTTACTAGCCAATTAAGACATCATTATTTTCAACTAGCCCTAAAAGCTTTTCGTCAAGCAGAATTTATTTCACACTTCTTCTGTTTTTCGAGTTCCTCAAAGAACATCTCTTGCCCGTTGGGCAAGTTAAAAACTGATTTCACTAACCCGATAGTAAAGTCCACCAGCCCCGGGCTATCGGACACTACTTTCTTTGCGCGCTGAAAGAGCTATCTGTGCATGTGTTTGGTTGATGCTAGTCTGACCTGACAATGCAGGATTTAATCCACAAGTGCATGGATACTCTGAGTTCCCTTGTAGAGCAGTGTACAGTGTAAAATAACAGTAAAGTATACTTTATTTTTGTTAACTTAACAACAAGTACAGTATTGAAAAATTTCAGAAAGTCTAAAGGATGCTACTGTTATTTATTACCACCTTCTCTGCAAATTCAGCAATATATATATATATATTATTTTACTACTGCTTTGTCCTGCATTAAGTAATTTTTCTGAAAAAATTATTGTTAGTGGTTCTTCTTCATGCTTTGTGTTTTCCTTGGACAGCACGTGCCTCAATACTCACTGGCCGTCTTCCAATCCGCAATGGATTTTACACAACCAATGATCACGCTCGAAATGGTAAGTGATCCTTTTATTAGTCTAAAGGTATAATAATTTATTTATTTCTGGTGGTCTCTAACGGGCAGGCTATGCAAATGTGCATTGTATAGTAATTTTATTCTTTTGAAAGCGTTAATCCTAGAATATTCAATATTACCACCTTTTTAGGTTATACTCCTCAGAACATTGTTGGTGGAATCGCAGATAGTGAAATTCTCCTGCCAAAGATTCTTAAAACAGAAGGTTATTACAGCAAAATAGTGGGCAAATGGTGAGCTGAGTAGTTTATTATTGTTACAAAACAGTATGATCAGTCAATGTAATTTCTTTCTCCGCATTATATTAGTTTGTCTATAGATTTACTTTCTTATGAGAGTTTTAGAGAATTAAGGCAAGTACAGTACTAGTATTTGGAAAAAGATATACCGGTATAGCAATGTATTATAATATTATTATAACATAACACATCCTCAAATGACCATACTTAAGGCTGTTTCTGAGAAAGATTGTAGGGAGTGCAAATTTATTAATCAAACAAGTATGATCTTGTCCATAATATTACTTTGTTGACTTGTGTAATAAAACAGTTCCATGCTTTTTCTTGTCTATACAGCAGACCATGTTGTCACTACTCACTTTGCTTGTGTGTGTTACATATAACTTGAGAATACTTTATTCCTTCTATAGATTCTCAGCAGGTAGAACCCAAATCACTATTCAATATTTATATTATACTAACAGGCATCTTGGGCACCAGCCACAGTTTTTGCCTCTGGAGCATGGGTTTGATGAATGGTTTGGTGCCCCTAACTGTCACTTTGGTCCATATGATAACATTCACACTCCTAACATCCCTGTTTACAAAGACAACAAGATGATTGGCAGGTAATAAAAGCCCACAATCTACAGTGGAAGCTCTCATAAGCAGACACTCTTGTCAAGCCAAATTAAAGGTGTTCATTACTGGGGCTGGCCAGTAAAATACAATCAGTCAGAATGGTTCTCATTTGTGGCTTCTAGGGACGTACGAATTAAAAGGCCGCTTCCGGGAGCTTGCCCAACCACGAATAAACATTTGAAATGAAAAGACTGGTCGATAGAGTTTGGTTATACTGTTTTTCTGACAATGTTGTAATTCAGTCACAAGCATAAAAGATGAAGTGGTGTTTTGAAGTGTAAAACTAAACCTGGTGTAAATTCTTTGTGACAGCTACATGATGTTGATATGTAAATTACAAGATTCAGAGGTGAGATTAAATTTCAGGTATCTGCCTTTGGGAGCCTGAAAGTAAGGCTAAAATCTAACTCATAAACCCAGAAAGTGTCCTTGACTGCCTATGTGAATTTGTCCGCTTATGGGAAAAATACAGAGTTTGTGTGGGGGTTGAGACGGGGTTTTGTGAAGGTGGCTGTAAGTACAGCTGAGAGTGGTGTCCATCAAGAGAGCTTCCACTGTCTGATGTATTTTAAGTTGACCCAAAAATTCCCATAAATATCTCGTTCTACTACCTGCCTGCAATCCTTGTATCTAAACATGCCTTGTTATGAAACCAAGGAATCGAAGGGGTAGGGAGAGGTGGCCATGCCATATCTGTATATTTAAAAGGTCTTTGACGTTAAATTTTTAGCTTGCATTGTCTGTTCTTTAATCTTTTATTCTGCCATTTTTCAGATATTATCAGCAATTTGCCATAAGTCGTAAGACAGGAGAATCTAATCTGACTCAAATCTACACAGAGGTAGATATCACATTTTGCAGTATTCTTTCCTGTATATCATTGGATACTTTATTATACTAGTCAGTAGCAAAAACTTTTCTCAAATCACTTGAAATGAAGGTTCAGACCATTTACATGCAGGCAAAAACTTTGAAAATTGGGAAGTTGTCATAAATATTATTCATGTTGTTACTGACAGTAATTTTATTGTTGACTTAGCCCTCCAATACTGGTAAAAGTTATTGATATTTTGAAAAGTTGACAAAGCAAGAAATACTTTGCACTTGTTATTTTCACAATGATCATTGATGTATAAAATGTATTTTGATGTATTTTTCTGTTTAGGAAGCACTTGATTTCATTGAAACCCAAGCAAAAACTCAGAAGCCATTCTTCTTGTATTGGGCCCCAGACTCCACCCATACACCTGTGTATGCATCAGCTCAATTCTTGGGTACTAGCCAAAGAGGACTGTAAGTAGTAGTCATTATACAGTAACAGTGCTGATCATTATATAATAATAATAATAAGAAGAAGAAGAAGAAACCCTCTTTCCTCCCAAAGTCTATAGTTTGGATCCTCGCGATTAAACTAGTATATCGTATATATAATATTATAAAATAATAATGCACATTTCGCCTCTTGTTGACTTTTAGTACTCAGTTAGATAAAACAGCTCTCAAAGTTATTGTGAAGAATGGAGAAAATCAGCCTCTTTGGAATCGTACTGCCGGCACAGTTGATATCAATTAAGACAAAACAGTGAAAGAGGCTTGAGATCAGTTAAAGCGGAGTTTTAAAGTAAATTAAAGATAAAGCAAAGCAGCTGTAATGCATATGTTACTAACAGAAAAATACGGATGTGACCAAGAAAGCTATGAGGAAGTTCAAAGAGAATGCAGTGCAGACTGGGTGTCCCTCTATCATCAAAGATGTTGTGAAGTATGCATCAGAGCTAACTGTTTTGATTTTAAAGCATCTTATTCCAAGAGCTATCAAAGGGGGTAGTGGAGAGTAGTGAAATTATGGAAGAAGAGGAAAGGCAAGGGAAGCTACTAAAAGAGAACAGGAGGACCCAACTATTGATAATGGATGGTGTTTAATTCGTAGATGCTTAGCTGGAGATCAGCCCCAATGTACACTATAGCAAACGTGCAGAAACTGTACCAACAATTCACCAAGTAGTGCCTTGTTAATGTAAAGCCAGTTTGAAATGCTCCATTCTCCTTTTAATTTTCATGTATGTAGTTGTGAATCAATCATATTGATCAGGAGTAACTTAAATGCCCGGGGCGGGGGGGGGAGGGCATTGGGTATTTTTTGGGTGGGTATGTGCCGCCTGGTACTTAAAATTGGCACCCTGTTCTAAAAAATAATTTCCCCTAAAATTGATACCCCGTTCTAGAAATGGGCCAATTTTTTATACCCCGTTCTAGAATTCGCTCTAAAACTGATACCCCATTCTAAAAATGGGCCAATTTTTTATACTCCGTTCAAGAAAGTTTGTATATTGAAATAGCCCTGTTTTTTTAAAAAGATATTTCTTCATTTGTTCGACTTATGCATCAAATAAATGCTTCATTATAATCAGCAACAATTGTAAGCAGAAGATAAAGCCGTGATCCACAAGTTTTTATACCCCGTTCTAGAAAACGCCTCTGAAATGGATACCCTGTTCTAAATCAGGAGCTTCAAAATCACTACCCCGTTGGGCGGCACATACTCGTATAGTTAATGTATGGGAGTACCCCCACCTGCCCGGGTTTAAATGTGACTGAAGGAGTGACTGAAATAAGGCCCTTAGTGACTTTTGATGTACTATCAAATTCTCCCCTTGATTCACAAGCATAAACAGGGGGCTTGGGGTCTTATTCCAGATACCCTTTTATGGTGACTATTAGAATTCTCTTTAACAGGTATGGAGATGCTGTGCGGGAGTTAGATGACAGTGTTGGAAGGATTCTACTGAAACTGAAAGACCTTGGCATAGCCAACAATACCTTTGTATTTTTTTCATCAGACAATGGAGCAGCTTTGGTATCAAAGACAAGAGGTGTGAAAACCTTAAACATTGAGTTATAGTCAAACCTTTCTAAAGGGATGGTTACCTTTAGGGACTGGTGAACTGACTGCTTAGTGCAGTTTGACCCATTTTAAACACAGCTAGGTTTAATTTAATTAACACCGTAAATCAAGCAAAGAAGATGACTATTTATTACATATCAAATTGACCTTAATTAAGGGGATCTTAAGAAAACCATGCAAGAATTTTCCTGTTTGTTAATTTGTCTGTTATTTTAGTTGGAAGGTAGACAACTTTTAGAGGGAAATTAATAGAAAGTAATGGGTATCAAAGACGTGATTCTAGCACAGGAGCGCCCTTAAATTTTGTCAGAAGATACCCTTAATACAGGTTTGCTTTAATTTACCCATTTACAATCATGTAACCATTTCTTTTGTTCCCATAAAGGTGGAAGTAATGGCCCATTTCTTTGTGGAAAAGAGACTACATTTGAAGGTGGAATGAGGGAACCATCCATAGCTTGGTGGCCAGAGCGAATTAAACCTGGCCAGGTAACATTTTTTTTTTTAGGGCCACTAACACTGGAAACATATCTGACACAAAGTCAAGACTCAAATTTCTTTGGTGGTCGCTTATGACCTAAGGGAGTTCTACCAAATAAAGGGACAAAACAATTACGTGCTTGAAAAGCAGGGTTTCATACATCCAAAGAACAATGCAGTCAAGGCTATGTTGAGTTGCTTAGTACAGTGTACATAAAGCTACCAAACATCAAAATATAATGTCAGGGTTTAAACTTTCCAATATGAAAGGACAAAAAAAGTCTATTCAATATAAGCATCATATTATTCAATTTGAATGGTAGTAGGTCAGACCTTGCATCAAGTGGTTGAATATAAACGGTTAAAATCAAATATGGAATATCTGAAATTATTGCTACCCAACAGGGCTTGGAAGTGGTTTGACTGTAACAATTTGGGATTTTGAATCGCTGTGGTCACACATAGAGGTCCACAGTTTTAATCCATAGGAAAATCTTGCCCTAAAAATGTTCAGCTTTAGTACATGTGTCTTGATGCAACTGGGTTTTTGTTTATTTGTTTTAGGTTAGTCACCAGCTTGGCACACAAATGGACTTGTTTTTTACAGCTCTTCTGTTGGCAGGAGCGAAACCACCATCGGGTGTAGTGCTTGATGGCATAGATCTTACCCCTACTCTTTTTAATCACACCATAACTGACAGGTATTTGATATTTTGTATTCACAGTCACACCAATGGCTAGAATTCAGTTAGTTTGTGGCTAAAAATGTGATATGTTCTTATACAAGAATTAGGTCACTCTATCCCGTTCTCGCTATCTATTTTGCAGGCATATGGGCAAGCTGTAAGATGTCGTGTAAAAACTGCTTTTCAATTATTTGATGATAAACTATGAGTAATCCGAGCTTAGGAGGGTGCGTTCGATATATTTTTTAGGCATACAGGTAGCAGTTGAGGGGGGAAGGGTGATTGCGGTATAGATAAATATGATTATGGCATATTTTGAACGTAAGGGTTGCGTACAGCGAGTCGACGACGAAAAGGCGATCTCAACAAAACCTCCCTTATAATTTGCACAGGACACCCAATAATGCACAAAACACCCAACAAAAATTAGGGGTTGCGTTCTTGTACCTCGACCGCGAAAATACCAATGGTAGTGGTTGCAGTTAAGAAACAAAACAAATGGAAATCCCACAAAGAGGTTTTTAGATATGACCTTTCTGCTGAAGTTGAGTTCATTTAAAACTGAGCAGTGAAATCAGTTGTAATGAGTGATACTCCTTTGCATCAGTTTACATAAAAGAAAAATCAAAATTGTAAAACTATATTGTAAATTGATACAAATTTTAGAGTTGCTATAAGTTGCCGAGTTGATAGCTATAATTTCAATACAAGTAAAAACAATGACAACTTTCAACCCCCTTATGGAGCAATTCATTTATTGAACTTTATCTGCGAGTTCCTTGTAAGTAGCTTCGGACTTGATGAGAGTTAAGACATCAGGAAATCGCATATGTGGTTGAAATATGTTGTCCGCGTATTATGCCCGAAAAAAGGTGAGAACAAGGTTCAACGATAGGACGCGGTAGATTTTCAGTTAATCTATAGAGAGGCCCCCGTATTATTAACATTTATGTTCTCTCAGCTCAGATATCAGCTCTCACTCTCTCATTTCTGTCGATATAGTGTTGTCTTGTTTTAAAAATAGGCCCTTTGCAGCTAGTTGGCCATCGTGGAGAGGAAGGCTGGGACGTACCAGAAAAGACAAACGCAACCATTTTAAATGAAGTGACCTCTTTATTTGTCTTATCCCAGAGCGTCCTTTGCGCTTCAGTATCGCGGTGTTTACCGAGTGAAAGACTAACTGCAAAGGACCTATCACCCTCTAGCCTGTACACAGGGCACGTTGTTTCATTTTTCTTTTCGAAAATCGATGAGCACGCGAGCGAAGAGAACGTGTGAGAGCAGGGCGGATATATTCTCCCTGTGTGAGAGCGAGGGCGGAGCACGCGCGCGCGCGCTCGACGATCTTTAAAGTGAACAGGCTAATTACCGTCGATGTGAAAGGGTGATTACGGATATCAATATTTCATAGGGAAGTAAGTTTGTGTTGTCTGTCTGTCTGCAGACCTGTGTTTTTCTATCGCGGTAACGAGATGATGGCCATTAGATATGGATTGTACAAGGCTCATTACTGGACCTGGACAAATGGTTGGGAAGAATTCCATGTAAGATTAAGAAAACTCGTAATACAGTACATAACAAGGGTGCATGTATCATGAACAGTAAAAAACGAAAATGCAAATAAGTAGAGGTGATTGGTACTATTACAAGGTATTTAAACTGTGAACGGAGGGATCAGTGTCACATAAGTTCCCCTTGCTTGTGTTCGTGCTGCAAATCTTAAACTTAGCCTTGGAATTTATCTGACTCTTCCAAAATGTAGGTTCCTATAGTGCTGAGCCTAGAGATCGGCCACTGAGCTTTTACAACTGCTAACCGCTTAGGTCGCAAAAAGAAAGGTCGCTAAGGAAAACTAATCAATTTTTCATCGGAGAGTCGGAATAACCTATAAATTTTTGCATTTTCTAAGAGAGACTTTCTAAACTCGAAAAAACTGACCTTTTTTCAAGTTTTAATTCCAAAAATGTGTTTAAGTATCACACTGATACCTCTGAAAGTACTATTACTCTCATCTTGTCGTTTTTACAACCTGCGTGTGTGTTTTGAAACACGTTGGGCCAGTTATTTCAACGGAGTTTAGCCAGTGTTTAACTAAGCTGCGCTCTCAGCCATTTTTAGATTGCCCAACGCTTTTATCTTAACACTATTTATCGTGAAAAGTTTCGTGAAAGCATAAGGCGTAGACTGGAAAACCACTTATCATCTTAAAATAACCCACTATGCAAGAGATCTGGAGGTCCAAAGATTTGCTAAACTGCCGCCTAAGTTACACTTCGTTTAAGTAATCGACCCTTGCTTTTATCTTTCAGAGAGGAGTAAATTACTGTCGCGGAGAGAATGTCACAGGCGTTACGACGCACGACCAGATGAATTACACTTCATCACCTGTTCTGTTTCACCTGGGACGGGACCCTGGCGAGAAATACCCCATCGAGTATAACAAGGCTAAAATTACTTGTTTTAAATACTATAGACCACAAGTAACCTTTTTTGTTAGTCTCAATCTAAACGTTTAACTGGTACAGTCGAACCTCTTTTAGCGACACCGTTCTTGAACGGCCACCTCCCTACAATGACCCACCTGAGTTGGTTTACGGTCAAGTTTTCACCCGAAAGTCATCTCACCCGAACAACGCTTGAAAGTATGTCGCCCGAAGCTTCTTAGACTTACACAACAATGCAGTTACTATCCTTTTACGCTTATTCCTATTTTCGGGCCTAAAGAACGACGAATAAAGATTTCTAAATTGCTTTCTAGGCTTTCTGGCTAGTTAAGCGTAAATTAATTCCGCCGCTCGGGCGAGATGACTTTCGGGCGACTTGACCCGTAGTTACCTTCTGTTCGGTAACCGTTCAAGTCGCCCGAAAGTCATCTCGCCCGAAATGTCAAAGAGCAGAGAAAAACAAAGTTAATTTTTGTTAAATCAGGGGCACCCAACGACTGTTTTCCGTGAAATATCTGTTCGGAGAAGCAAAAATTGCCTAGAATTTTCTATAGCTCGAGAAAGGCTAAAAATTTCTAGATGACCGTTCCATTCACATACAATTTTCGAAGCTTATCTAATAAATTCCTACGATTTTCTGAAGTTTAATTTTTCCCGTTTCACTCCCCAGATTAGGCTATTTTTCGTAGAGAAAGGAAACGTAAAATTTTTGCAATCGAAAATGCGATGCAGAGAGGAATCAGAAAAACTATCACTTTCGTAAAACTTTAAATTGCAGCTAAAATTTTCGGGAAAATAATACTGAAGCCCTCGTAATTTCGAAAAGACTCAAGTTGCCCTAGGCTGATCGAACAGATATAAATTTTTTTGGGCCACTTAGAATACATTCCTAGAGATCAGAAAGTACTCTGGATAACCGAAAACGTGTTTTCAAAGTATTTAGGGGGAAACCGTCGTTGGGTGCCCCTGTTAAATAAAGAGTATGCCGACGAAACAAGCGGAATGAATGTGTAACATGCCTCGTGCTTTAAGCGACGATGAGACGAAACAAGCGGTATAAATGAGTAATATATCTCGCTCTTTAACCCTTGATTAACAACGAATCAAGCGCGATAAATGAGTAATATATCTCGTTCTATAATCTTCGATCAGAAGAAGCAAGCGCGGCATATGGTAATAGGGATGCCAGGATATTGTTGAGCATGATAAAATTTCAACCACAAAACTCAGCACTTCAGGCGACTTGACTAAACATTTCGTGCGACATAACTCTGATTTCGGGCGGCATACCTTCGGGCGAGATGACTTTCGGGCGACTTGTGCGTAAACCCTTCTGTTCAATTACCTCTGTCCCAAAGGTGATCGTTGTGGACTGAGCTGGGAGGTTTAACTGTTATTATTGATAGCACGAGAATGCACAGGCGCAAGACTTAAGTTGAATGTTAACATTCAAGGATTTTGTGTAGAGATTTAAAGTCCAATTTGCATTATGTACTTCCCTAACTGATTGTAAGAGTCTTATGGTAAGACCTTCGTTTTGAAGATCATTTATAAAAAGGCAGAAACAGACTAATATGCACACGTCCCTGTTTGCGCCGATTGAAGTAATCTTAAATGTGAAAAGATGTGGTTTTCGCCAGTAATGTCATGAGCGTATGATAGCTAAAGAGGAACTCGTGGTTGTCCATCTGAAAGTTCGTTGGTGAAATGTGTTCTGCACACTGTTTAGTCTAGACTACGGGTAGTCCCCCCTTTTTCCTCAGGGATAGTAGAGCGAGCGAAACGCGAGCGCGCGTGAAAATCACCCGACGCGAGAAAAGGCAACACGTGGCGGGGAGAGAGAAAAATGAGGGACTCCCTCATTTTTCTCTCTCCCGGCCGCGTGTCGCCTTTTCTCGCGTGTGGTGATTTTCACGCGCGCTCGCGTTTCGCTCGCTCTACTATCCCCGAGGAAAAATGGAGGACAACTCGTACACACTGTTTAGTCTTAAGAATCTAAGTATCGGATGCCACAACCTGGTTAATTTATAAGAAAGATAGCTCTTAGTAGTACGAAGTGTGTATTTAGCCTCCCACACAGACCCTCTTAGGGCTTCGTGGGGACGCGGGAACGCGTGTCGATGCCCTAAGCACCTCTGCTTGGGAGGCTAGTAAAAGTATTGTTAATCTCTCAATAACAGATCCTCTACTCCAGAGTACAAGGAAGTTATGGTTACAATAAGAGAACTAGTGTCCGAACACAAGTCAAGTCTGATACCGGGAAAACCTCAGCTAAACATGTGTGATCCAGCTGTAATGGTATGTAACCACATAGGGCCGTGAGTTTCAAGTTCAGGGTACCGCTTATTGACTACTGTAACAATTCAGGCGATTTTGGAAGCATAATAGGTCTTTTTAAAGTGTTTTATTTTTGAAATGTTTACAAAAATGCGTTACCGTAAAACAAAACATTCAAAGCTAAGAAATAGTGACTCTCCAAAGAGAAATAATAACAAGTTTTCTGTGTTGAAATTTACCCGCTTCCAAATCGTTTGTGCCAATTCAGTGTTGTCCCAAGGAATAAATGAAGGTACGAGTTCTTTCGGTTAGCTAGTACAGACCATCTTCAAAATCATATGATTGTTCTTTCCACGCCTTTAACCCTGAATAACGAGAGAATACCACAGTTACATGGTGCTCAGAGGGTCGGAATAAGAAATCTTAAGTAACGCTAAGATGGCAGTTGAAGTAGCACTTGTCCATCTCAGTAACAATCATTTATACTTCATGTTCTGCAGACTAGAAAAGAATAATTAAGTAGGAAAAAGCTGGATCCATTAGAAGTTGTGCCCGCGGGGTGATTACCAACGGCACTAAAAGCGTTTCCTAATTGTGCTCGCTGCCGACTCAACAGGTTCAAAAGGTTTGATAAAATTAGAGAGGCTATGTGACACCTATTTTTTTATTTCTAGAACTGGTCACCCCCTGGATGTGAAGACATTGATGAATGCCTTAAAGCACCTCCATCAAATCCTACAAAATGCCACTGGCCTCATTGAACGGAAAACAATGAACTACAGACAACCAACTTGGGTTCAGTTACTTGCAGACCTTCTCTCTTGCTCTATCACGAACTTTATTTACAACCGAGACTAAATTGCATTTAGTAAATAGTGTCATCAGGGGCAAACAACGAGAATGTAGGTCAAAACCACTTAAACATAGCATTGCTAAACGTTTTTTAGTATTTAAACGGTAGATATAGGCATATTTTTATCCCCTAAAAATTTTTCATCTGTTTGGATTTCCTAGCTGAAAGTCTAGTGATCCGAAAATTATTGGGATCAAAAGTTATCTTTTCGAAAATTTCAGCCAGAAAAAAGGCTCCCGAAAATTCTAGGTGACCTTTTTAGAGAAAAAATCCGTTAAAAAAGGGCAGTTATACCATTTTTTAGATGTTCGAAAATCCTAGGAGAGACAGGTGAGCAAGAAATTTTACAGCAAATGTTCCGAAAATTCTAGATCTCAAATCGTCTTCCGAACAGATATTTTCCGAAAATTGACGTTGGGTGCCCCTGTATCATGAACCCACCATACGAATACCGAAAGGAGAAAACACCAACTAGCCAACAAACAAGAATTCGCAGTAGTACTGCGGAAAGCATGAGCATGCAGCCGGTATTGTGAAGTGTCATCGGTTCGATTCTCGTTTAGGTCACTCGGTATTCTTCTTTTTGAGTTTTTCTTGGCTTGAAAACGTTTTTCTCCGTGTAAAAGATAGTAGTAGTTTAGCCTGGTACCAGGTTCCGTAATGAGGGAAAGAGCGAACAAACCAAACAGGGCGAGCGAAGCGAGCCGATCGGTGACCCGCTTTTTCCCCCAGCAGTTAACACTATAGTTGTGAGTTTCCTTCGAGCGAGGTATAATAATAGAAACTTGCAGATAACTGCATAAATGGTATGATTTACAGATGCCTAAGGCAGTTGACTGTATATTTCAGATAAGTTAAATTATTGGTAATCAATAGCAAACGGAAAAAAGTTTTTCACTAAACTAAAGTATATATGGGTGAAAAATAAGAGGAATAACATTCCCATACTTTTTGGACTAGTTGTATGCCAAAAAATGTTTTTTAAAAGTGAAGTGTTAAATGAGGGGAAAAAATGGAATCTTTTATATCTTTGCCAAAGGGGTTGAATAGATTTACAAAGATTGTTCTACGGATAGGAAGCGTAATATCCTGAATCGCATATCTGATGACATTTTGTGCATGAAGCCTTTGGTAGAGGAAATGCGCGAGTTGAGGTAGCGCTCGAATCGCGTTACATTTCACAATAAAATACGCAGTTCTCTCTGTCTTAATTTTAAAGTTTTTAGTATGTTATAATTATTAAAAGGAGCTGTTTAATATAACGGTTAGATTTTGAAAAAAAATATATAAAATATATAAGAAACTGGCGAGGGCCTAAATAAACCATGAAGTTTACAAGTTAGAATCTTTACAATCTACGTTTGTAATTTTTGCGTAGCTTTCACTCAATACTATGGCCAATGGGACTTAATTAACTCGAGAGAGAAACTCGGGCGAATCGATCCAAATTTTTCGTTTTATTTCTTCAAAGAGCAGCACTAAATTTTGATCAGAGACTAACCTGTAAAGATTCCTTTTTTAAAAAAGAAATTATTATGCGAATTAACCCACTGTCTCTGAAGTTCAAGTGATTACTAAGATCTCAGGATTTCCCTTTCATTTGTGTTTCTAAAGGTCTTCAGATAATAAAGATATTTACTTTTCACCAGTAAAAGGTTTTGGCCAACACGTCCCTCTCCCCTACACCCACAGGGATGGGCCTTCTACTCTCGCACGAAGGCACGGAGAACAGCTGTGTAGGAGACTAATTATCCTCGGAGGCACCGTGACAGGGGTGGTCAGTCCGGTCAAAAGACAGGGCGCGACAAAAGCTTTCAACAGTCGGTTTTCCCGACCCTAATGACTACTGTTACCTCGTTCCCAGTCTCTCTTCTTGTCCCTTTCCAGAGATGCATACTACTGATGCGTTCCAAATGTAAGAACTGGCTGACCAGAGTGACCAGTTTAGTTTATTCGTAAGAAGAATTCCACTATTGACCAGGACTATCCAGCCAGATCAGTATATTCCTAAATGCTAAGCACGGGTGTGATGGGTCTTAGGTAAAAATTTCAAGAAAAGATTTATATTTTATTTAACCAGTCCGGCCGACCAGTTCTGACTTTTTTGTTTTTGGAAAGCGCCCGGGGACGGGAAGAAGAGAAATCCTGCAAACAAGGTTGTTTCCCCTGAAGATAGTTGTTAAAGAAGAATAACCTACTTACGGTCCAGGGTGCAAGTGTGGTATATCACTGCTGCCCATATCAGATGTCCTTTGAAAGGCAATTTTCAAAAGCATGCTAAAAAAAAAAAAAAAAAAAAAAAAAATAGCCTTTATTTAAAGAGGGTAGCACTTAATAGCCAAAGGCTAATAAACTTGTGGCCCTCATTTTAACGTCTCCTAATGGAGACGGGACCGCCATTTTACGTGGTCATCCGAGCCACGCGAAGGTCCAGCCGCCCGCAGGGCAAAGGAAGTACCTTCATTTCTTAGTTATTTTAAGACCCTAAGTATTGGTCCGGCCCCGGGAATCGAACCCGCGACCTCCCGCTCTGCAGTCAAGCGCTCTACCGACTGAGCTAATCCTGCCTCTTGTACCATTGTTTTCCAAGTCTTCCAAGTTTCCCACTTTACGCTTTAAGAAGAGTATTCATGTTTTTGTAGGTCGCTTAGTACAGGGTAATACCGAATATTTGTACTGAGGCGACTGAGGTCAAAACAAATACACAGCCTACATCAAGTTGGTTTAATACCCACAGGGAAAAACACTTTACTTGAGTGCAGGAGCCGATTAGTAAGCGGCTCATAATGAGTGTCAATGTATTTAGCCGGGGGGGAGGCTAATAGTTATTTTTCTCAACAAAGGTTTAAAGGGGGAAGCTCCGCCTCGAGGTCCAATCCCTTACCCCCCCACCCACCCTCCCCTTACCCCTATACTGTACCATTCTTGACAGGAGAAGTACCCCTTCCGTATACCCGTCATTAAAAAGGTACCTCTTTAACGTACCCACGGTGCCGCTTTCGGGCGGAACTTCCCGTATAGGCCATCGACATAGGGAGTAGCCCCCCGCAGGAGCTCCTGTCCCCCGGGGTATTTCCATTTTCTTTTGTTTCAAACTCATTATCATAGTTACCATACCCAAAAACAAAAGAAAATTAAAATTAAAGCAAGGATAAAACGGAACCATAACATCTACGACTAGCATATTAAAAGTATAGCCGTCTTCAGGCAAAGGCAGTCTTTCAGTGAGTATTGATCCAGTCCATTCATTATTTCATGCAGTATTTTAGCACGTAACTCCCTTCTCCCTGCCCCCAGATACCTCGTCAGCTCTCCCAGTCTCGTCTCTCAGCTCTCCCAGAATGTTACTTTCGTTTCTTTTCTTTTCTTTCTCTCCTTCCTTTCTTCTTTCCTGTTTCTTTCTCTCTTGGTTTATTTCGCGCGCGAGGGAAGTGGGTCGTGCACGAGCGAGACTGGGGACTAATCTTCCTAATATGGATGAACGTTTGAATTTTAACCAATCAAATCTTCGTGCTAAACCAACGAGCGAAATTCGAAGTTTTCTTGTCTGCACTTTAATTCGAAGAGCTGCCGGCCATGTTTTGTGTATAAACCAACTTTTTCCAGTCAGTGTTTAAAGAATCAAAAGAATAATTTTCGTCAGTCGAAGATCATGGTAAGGTTTAGTCTTCTATGAATCTCAATTGTGTGAGTAATTTAGATTGAAAGGCCCATAATAGTGGCCATGTCAGGAGGTTACCACGATAGGACAGCCCTTCGGTTGGTTTGCATGTTCATCTTTTTCCCATGTTCGTAAAATTTACTTTTCCGATCTATTTTTTCAAACGTTTATCAAGATTACCTTTATAGATCTATGAATTGAAATACATCTTAAATGAACCGCCGTCACTTTAATGTATTTCATGAGAACAGCCAGAATACGTTGTCTAAAAAGGCTTGAATTTGCGCAACGGAATGCGTGCACGTACCACGATAAGTGTACGTACAAGTTTCACGCTTTTGAAGTTTTTTTCATATAATATTATATATAAACAAAGCTTAATTCATTGCTTAGGTTTTCTCTGTTCCCTGTATTTAGATTTGATTTGTATGTGCCTTTCCAATTCTAGGAAATTCCAAAGGCAAATGCAAATCCACAACGAGTGGCCCTGAAAGAAACACAAGACCTAAAAGTAAGACTACAACAAATTCAACTATCGACATCGAATAGCCAGGTTTGTCAAAAAGGACAGAATGCTACTTTGTTTACATGTAACGGCTCCCACAAAACTCTTCCCGGTGGACAGTTAAATCAAAAGAAAGAAGCAGGTTACAAAGCATCTGAAAAACCAGAACAATGCAGCTCTGTGCAGAAACAAAATTACATATCAGCTCAACGAACAGATCATCTGGTCGCTCCTACTCATGGACATAAAAAAGACGAGAACAAGGAAAATGAACCAAAAGACGGCGGAAAACCAAAGAGTGCAAGGTACCTAAATTACTTTTCTTTAGTTTTATAGATAGAAATTAGAGAGCGATTATTGTAGTAAATCAGATGTATTTTCATTCACCTTTTTTAGGGCATGTTGGTGTTTGGATGACTTTGATATTGGGAAACCTCTAGGAAAAGGTTAGTACATGATCCACCATCTTTTGTCTAATTTGATCATGAGACTATGGTTTAATGAATTTACGTTACACATGAATGTTTTCAGGAAAGTTTGGCAATGTTTATCTGGCAAGAGAAAAAAAGAGCAAATATATTGTGGCCCTCAAGGTAAGATAATAAAGGCTTCCAGATTTCATATTTCCTACTCATGTGTTTGGTTTTTCTGATAAACATTAGGATGAAATCCCACTTTGAGAAAGACATTAGGGTGCTTATCCTCAGGCTCTGGTTGGGTGGTTATTGAAATGGCCATGAAATTCATGGTTGTAGGGGCCGTCATTATAGAGTAAGGTACCGGGGGGTTACTTGGGTTAACATTTGCTGGATATGTGCCACTGGCCTCTCAGAACCCCTGCCCATGAAAGTCTATTCACCCTTCTGCCCCTCCTACTTAAACTTAAATAAGCAGTATCTGCTTCTCGGGTGACTAACCCATTTGCCGGTGTTACGATGTCGGACATTGAGGATGCAGTACCATAGAATTCACTTACTGACTTGAGTGACAATGAGATTGAAATTGAAATTAAGAACTAATAACATACTTCCCCAAAGACAGAATTTTCTTCAGATTATTTTACAGAAACCTTGCTTTGTTACATCTTTAGATTTTGATATTACCATTTATTGTTTTGTTGCAAAATAAACATACTACACTTGCTGAAAATGGCGAAAATTTAATAAGCGCCCAGCCTCTATTAAGCGCCCACCTCGAATAAGCGCCCACTCCCAAGGTCCAAAATTTAACAAGTGCCCATGGCAATTAATCTAATAAATACGCTAAGTCACTTTCTGTTAATGCATCTACGTTACAACCTACCATAGGTCATCCTGAAATAAACTGACACAATTGTTAAACCTAATGTGGTGAAAATCTTTCTATTTTTAAATGCCTACAAACCTGCCTGCAAAAACAGATGTCTCTCCTCTCCCATCGCCGCTGAAGGATGTTTCATGAGAAGGAACATAATTATGCGACTCAGCAACAGAAATTCCATACTGAGGACATAAAATATGTCCAGAATCCAGTCATAAGTGCTGATTGGATGACATAGTAGTTGCATTGTTTTAGCTATCGTTTATGAATGACAGACAAAAGGCTACAAAGGTCAAATGTAAGCGAGATGAATCTATAACAAAACAGTCAATATTTGTGAAATATATTCTTCTCTAGAAGAAGCATGTGAGTTTTGCGGGAGCTTATTGAGCAGATGAACACAACACTTTACCAAAGTCGACCAGGAGAAATTTAAAGTTGAACAAATTTGCAATTTGAACTCCATGACCAACAGATTTATTATGTGAACATTGATTTACATCATTATTATGGAATTTCTGTCCCTGAGTCGCAAACGTTCCTCCTTGTAAAACGTCCCCAGTGGCAAGGAGCAAGGAGAAACGGCTGTTTCCGCAGGCTAGAATTTTCAGACCCCTAAAATCCTGAAAATATATATGCGACCCCATTCTAGTAACTCTTATAAAAATGCAACCCTGCAATAGTCAATCCAGTCATGAAAATGCAACCCCATCCAACGGCACATACATAAGCCTGCTATTAGTAAGTACCCCCACTTCCCCCGCCAGGAGTAAAAAAGACTTTTTTTAGCGACACATGTCAAATGGAAGTGGACTTTTTGCATAAAAACATTTGGCAAAACAAATCTGGTAAGGGAAAAGGCCTCCCTTCCAGTTGACATGCATCATTTAAAAACATCTTTAATTATCTCCCTATTATTTTGTATGTATTAAAGGGGGGCAAGGAAATATTGTAAATTGCAACTGAAGATAAAACTTCTGCAAGGACCCAAAATGGAAAGTGTCTCTCTTTCAATCAGTAATTTAATTTTGCAACCCCATCCCCACCATACTTTTTAGGTAGTGGTGCAATTTTGGGAGAACATGACTAAAAAAGAGTAAAGTTTTGGATATTTTAAAATTTCACGAGAGTTTTGTTTTTTTGTTTTTTTTTTTCAATCTGGGTGCAATGCAGTTGAGGCATCAGTGATTGCTTTTTAAAGCAATTAAGTCTTGTCACTTGATGGGCTACTATTAAAACTGAGGCAAACAACTAATATTAAATAAGGTGGATCCAAACTCATTCACTAAGGCATGTTGGGGATAGATTGGTCTTCATCAGTGCCAAAAATATTACAAGAAGTGATCTTTATTTTCGTTGGGTTATATTCCCTTACCTATTTGGATCCTTGAAATAATTCCATCTTCTTAGAAGCTTTCTCTCCAACACGACATAAATTATTCATAAGACATCTCGCACAACCTAAAACAATGACCCCCCCTGTTTATTTTGTAAAAAATTAAGCCCTACCCCACCTCCTCTAACCCGTAGTTACTAAAACAAGGAATGACCTACAATGATCTACAATGACATACAATGATCTACAATGACCTACAATGAGCTACTATGACCGAACGTGTAATCCCTGTAATGAGCTAAAATGAAGATTTTAGAAAAAGACAAAAAAAAAAGATCAGGGGACGTGTGCGTAAACGTAACGCGTTTAGTCTACTGCATGACAGCCCATTTAACGATGATAGTATCTCTAATTATTACGCTTGGAGATAAATTTACAGTGTAATAATACATGTATGATGATACTGTGACTTTTGTCCAAACCATCCCTTGCAACCTTTCGCATTAGTTTTATTTTGTCTTGTCTTTTTTTCAAACAAATTAAACAAACACAGTCACCCCAACAGTCGTTCCAGGGGGATCCTCAAGGGACGTAAGGGTAGAGGTGAACAAAGGAGGCCTTCAAATTCTGACCCTGTTCAAAAGAAAAATTGTTCATTTTTTTTAAGTACCCTGGCCTGTATAAGACATCATAAGACCCTTTAAATGGCTTCCGGTCCACCAGGATGCTCTGTTTGTAACGCTATAGAGTAAAATCCATATCCTGCTCAGCGGCCCATACCCATCTAGGCCAAATGAGGAAGTGCTTGCATGACTTCCGTCAATAGAGCGTATAATAGTGCTATACCGGTAAAAACGCGATTGCAATAATCTATTTTCAAGTTTCTCAAGTTACCTGAGATCAGGCACAATTTTTGTTTTGCCTTTTCAAAATGTGCTTGGCAATTTAATACCATGAGCCTAGTGTCACGTCCAAGCGTGACACACGACAAACATCATTGTAGTCTGTCATTTTGTAGCTCATTGTAGGGCTTATTTTAACTCATTTGAGCTCGTAGTAGCTCATTGTAGCTCGTACTAGTTCATCGTAGATCATTGTAGGCCATTGTAGGTCATTGTAGGTTATTCCTTGTTTTAGTAACTACGACACACGTTCCCTGATCTTTTTTTTTTTGGTCTTTTTCTAAAATCTTCATTTTAGTTCATTACAGGGATTACACGTTCGGTCATTGTAGATCATTGTAGATCATTGTAGGTCATTGTAGGTCATTCCTTGTTTTAGTAACTACGTCCTCTAACCACCCTTGACCCGCCCTTCAATATTTTGCATTTCAAATTATTTGTCTGTTGCTTCCAGGTTTTGTTCAAATCACAACTAGAAAAAAATCATGTGGAACATCAGCTTAGAAGAGAGATTGAAATTCAATCACATCTCAGGTGAATGTTAAAAGTTTCATTTATCTTCTATCTAACTAGGCAAGACATTTTTGCTACGGTGAAACCTTATGGGAAAGAGGTGTATACATTACAGACTGGGTCAGAATTTAAATGAAGTTTGGGGAAGGGGAAGTCAGGAACAAGGGTTAGTGTCCATGCATGAGAGAGAGAGAGAGGTGTGTCTAGATTGTTCATATGGGGAGATTAAAATTCAGCACATACATGTTTGCATTCAAGTCAAACCACTAGCCATTTTACATAAAGAACCTAAAGTCTTACAATTTCTTTTTGCTTTAACCCCGTAAGCCCCAATATCCAAATACAAAATTCTCCAGACTGATCTCCATACATTTCCTTGAAGAATTGGTTAAGAGAATTAATTAATGTTTGTATATATCAAAGCTTTTCCCATCAGGGCCCGGTTCCCTCAAAAGATGGTTAACTTTAACCCAGGATTAAGCCAAACTTTAAGCAAGGTTTTCTCGTCCAAGAATATCCAACTTGAACTTACAACATACCGTTGAGCCTTTACTCCTAGATAAAGTCAACACAAAATGTTACTCTAAGCACTACATAGAAATTAAGGTACAATATAAAAATGGAACAAAATTTTAATCCTGGATTAATGCTAAATGGCTTTCAGGAACTACGCCCAGGTGATTATTTTGCTAATTCTCACAACATTTTGCCTTGATTATTTAGTGATTTTGTTGGGAGAAAATTGACTTTGGTCACTCTTGGGTCTTAAAGGGTTAAGGCAGGGTGTGCAAAAACCTTTGTCCGATTGTCCGGGACAGGAAGAAGCTTAAGTGCAGTTCGGACATGTAAACCTTTGACATGACTCGTCTGTGGGACAAGCACATTTTTAATAATTATAAAAAAAAAGATTGTCTTCAAATTACCGTAGAATTAAAATTCATCTTAAAAGTCATAACTGCAAACCTCATACAACTTCGCCATTCAATGGTCATTTCATTTGTTTTTGAGAGCTCCGTATTTACTATTAGGTTTAAGCCAAAAACAAGGCTAATAATGTGATTAAAAACATCAAATACCCGATTGTTTTTTAGTTTCGAGCTAAAATTAACTTTTTGGACTTTACAAGATCTCTTTGGTTTAGACAATCAAATTTAATGTACATCACTACTGTAGTGCTTCCCTGAAGGACAAGTGGACTGGAAGATTTTTCTCTTACCCTGTAAGGTAATTACTAGGCAGTTAAGTATACTTTAATTGCTTTGTGTATTAACAATTTCTGAACTTCCATTTTTTTATAGACATCATAATATTCTCCGTTTGTTTGGATACTTCTATGATAAAACAAGAGTTTATCTGATTTTGGAGTATGCTCCAAAAGGCGAGCTGTATAAAGAGTTAACAAAGATGGAGAGATTTGATGAAAAAACATCATCAAATGTAAGTACCGTTTTTTGAATGTTAAGTGTTGGTTATTTCTTGCAGCAATTTGTTGTCTGGAAAAGTAATGTTTAGATTGATTTTTTTAACAAAATTAATTCTTTCTTTTGTATTACAATACAAGACTGTTACAAGCCTTTTCGGGCAAGTCTGTTAATAGTACTTATTTAATTTTTTTTGGGTGGTAGGGACCAGAAATGGGGTGGGGGGGGGGTGGGTGCTTATTTGAGTATGAGTTTGAGTTTGAGGCGGAGGGAGGCGGGGTGGGGGTGGGCACTAATTCGAGGCTGGGCGCTTATTCAAGGTGGGCGCTAATTCGAGGTTGGGCGCTTATTCGAATAAATACGGTATTTAGTATTTTTAGTCTTGGTTTGGACCTTTCTTTAAACCACCAATTGTGATGAAACCTTCCTAACAAAAGATGATTATTAGTATTTAGTATTATTCATTTATTCAATCTGATTAATAATAAAATTAATATCATTATAGTCATGAGTAAGTTGTGTTTTGATTTGAATGATTTCACCTGCAGTATATTCGCCAGTTGGCTGATGCTCTGAAGTATTGTCACTCAAAGAAAGTGATTCACAGAGACATCAAACCAGAAAACTTACTTCTTGGACTAAAGGTTTGGCAATGTTACATGTCTTCTCTTTAAATTTCTAAAAGTTGTTTCCCAAGTAGCTTGCAGCTGCTGAATTTGGTAAAGCAAGTCACTGACTTTGCTTAGGGCCAGCAAGAGTTGTTCGTGATCATAAAACTGCAAAGCCTTTCAGTTGTTCAGCGATGTCCTCTGCATTTGACACCATCAGGGATCTTAATAACTGGTTGCTTTCAAGAGTTCTGGGTTAAACTCATCATCATCTTCTCTGTCCACCTCAGTGTCCATATAATAATTGATTCAGTTATGTAATTTATGGTGACTGTGAGAAAGTTACAATAAAAAGAGCCATATGGGAAATCCAAACAGGGATAATTTAATAGAGCTCAAAAATTTATGGTAAATATGGCAAGTAAATCTGGAATTTGATAGAGGGTCACTTAATAGAGGTTTGATTGTAGTTAACAAAAATATTTATTTATTTGTTTTTCTTTTTCACTTGTAGTTGTTTTTTTTATGTGTGGGGGGCCATTATGAAAACTAGCGGGTCACTGGTAGTAATGCTTCCACCCCTTTGTTTAATAAAGATATCAAATAATACTATATGGGATATTGAGAGCATTTATAATTTACTTGGGCTTGCAGGGAGACCTTAAAATTGCAGATTTTGGATGGTCCGTCCATGCACCTTCATCCAGGTAAACAAACCCCTGTTCTCTTTCCTTAAACATCAAAATAACAGCAACTTTTACCAAGAAGTACCAATATTAAATTAATTTATTTTCAAGTACAGTGAAACCTGCATTAAGCGGACACCCTCGGGGAATGCTGTAGTGTCCGCTTAATACAGGGTGTCCGCCTAATACAGGTTTTGATATATAACGTCATATGAGGTGTCAGATGCCATTCAAATGAACAGTGGAAGCGTTTATAATACTCCCAGAGACTATGACGATAGACGTTTGCATTAATTTCTTTATCACAGTGAACCAATTGATCATAGTGCCATAAACATGGATTGCAACTCAAATTTGAAGAAATCAGATGAGTGAAACAAGCTCTATTGACTATACAAACAACACGAAATAGAAAACAATCTGTTACTGTGAAACTAATCAAATAAGTTCGTCAAGTCACATTTTTTAATGTTAAAATCGAAAAATTTGTGGGTGACAATTCGGGGCAATCTTTCGCATTTCCGGTGTCTGGCATGTTGGGTGGTGGAATTTAATTACAAGTGTCCATTTAATACAGGTTGGCAACAATAGAAATGGCCCTTTTTAGGTACTTTTGAGGTGTCCGCGTCCGCTTAATAGAGGTGTCCGCTTAATAAAGGTTTCATTTAAAGTAAATAAGGGAAATAAATTTGGGGACTTCGGCTACAGTGTCCGCTTAATAGAGGGTGTCCGCTTAATACAGGTTTCACTGTATTACAGCAAGGAGCCCAAAAGTATGACCACTTTTAATTTATTCACATTCTCTTGTACAACCTCGTTCCCAGGGTTCTCTCCTACCCGCCCTACGGAGCTCCGTAGGGTGGGTAGAAGAGAACCCTGGGATTGAGGTTGTCTCTTGTACAGATTTAATCCAATCAGAAGCCAGCTGGAAACTGTCCTCGACTTCTGATTGGTTAATGTCTGCATGAAAGAATGTGAGTTAATTAAAGGAGATCATACTTTTGGGCTCCTTGCTGTAATTTAATGACAAGGTAATTTGCACTGATAGATGCCATGTACATTTATTATATTCCAGACATGTTGACTTATTTTTAACTATGAGAAATTTTTTTGACTCAAATAATGTACCACAAAAAATTTCAGACGGACAACACTTTGTGGGACTCTGGACTACCTTCCCCCAGAGATGATTGAAGGCAAAGAGCATGATGAAAAGGTAAATAAAGTTTGTTTTTAACCTTCACAACTACATAATTATATTGTTCCCTCAGTAGATCCTATTATTATAAGTTGTTCAACAGGTTCTTGATACCTGTATTCTCCATTTAATGTAAAAAAAAGACAGTCCAAAAGAAACTCTGGTCAATACATGTTTCACTGTATAAATAAAGTGGAAATCCTGTGAAATTTGTATTGCACTCTTAAAAAGGAAACTCCCAACCTGTGGCTTGAATGCAAATTCTATATCATGTTGGCTTTATAATTACAAGCCTACGAACACAGACGTATTTCTGGTCATTGCTTCTCTCCACCCGAAAATAGCAATGACCAGAAATGCATCTGTCTCCGCAGGTTACATGTATATAATTCAACACCAATACTTTGTTCCAGGTTGACCTTTGGAGTCTGGGTGTGTTATGTTATGAATTTCTGGTTGGAAAACCACCTTTTGAAGCTGAAGGTCATCAAGAAACGTATCGCAGAATTTCAAGGGTGAGCAGACCACTAATGTAGGAGCTGCTCATAAGGTGTTTCCTCATTGGTCACAGAAAACAAACTAAACACAGCAGCATTGTTTATCATTAACATCCTCCACACACAATCCAGATAGCATTATCACAATGTAATTTAAGACTCATAATAATTGCTGCAAGATCTGCCAGTAAGATCGGCCCTGTCCCCTGCACAATACTTGTGTGAGGGGGACCTTCTTCCTTTGTTGAGTGTTAAGATAGGGAAGTTGGATATTAAATATTTGAAAACTTGTTCTTTGCTACAAAAAATAAATTATGTAAAACCCCTTTTTTACTTTGCAATCATGATGAACATGGAAAGAATGTCACCATACGGGATGCAAAGAAAATCATTTTTACAGCTTGCCATTCGGGTAAGCTGAAGCTAGCATTTACTAGCCCAGATGTCATTTCAACTAACCCCAAAAGCTTTTTGATAAGCAGAATTGATTTCACAGTTCTTCTGTTATTCAAATTCCTCAAAAAAACATCACTTGCCCATTGGGCAAGTTAAAAACAGAATTCACTAGCCCGATAGCAAAATTTACTAGCCCTGGGCTATTGGACACAACTTTCTTTGCACACTGCCATACATGTAAATCATGTGCATTATTAAAATTTCTGTCATTATGTTATGTATTCTTGACTCTCACAAGGAGAATGAATATGAACCAGTAAAAAGATCTTTCTTTTTTATGAGTTCTTTTCTCATAGTCCATGTTTCTGCTTCATACAACAGTTGTCAGCAAGCAATGTTTTTGAAATAAGTTTTAACAATATAAACTGGGTAGAAATGACTATGATAAATACATGGACATGTACCCTTCAAATGACAATGAAAATGTGCCTTTTTTTTTAGGTTGACCTCAAGTTTCCTGACCATGTGTCTGAAGGGGCTAGGGACCTTATTTCCAGGGTGAGAGCAGACATTTCATCATTATTTACAACAACATCTCATTCTTGTAACTTCATATTACTAAAACTGTCAACTGGATAAGGCAAACACCACAGGGCTGGATGCTGAGTGTCAATCTTAAAAAGGTGTTGACCTTATAATTACAGAAAATGACTGAAGAAAGGTAGAGACTAACTATCAGGCCCAGGTGTCCATTAAAAGACGTACAGTTGATTGTATTGCCCATCTTTTTCAGATTACAGGAAATAATATGAATTACAAGAATTACATGTAACAAACACTATGGTTGTTTTCTTGTTTCTACACAGCTTCTAGTTCATGACCCCAGAAAAAGGCTGCCTTTGAGTGGTGTTCTAGCTCATCCTTGGATCAGAAACAATGCACAACCTCCAACAATGCTGCACCCTCCAGCAGTATAGCAGCAAAGCATGAGTTCAATAGATTAATGTACATTTAAATTTGTGCAAATAGATGTATCATTGTATTACCCCTACCCATGTAAATAGAAGGGTGCCAAAATACATTCCACTTCCACTGAAACAGAGAAGTCGCTCTTTTTGCTCAAGTTGAACAAGGAGAGAATTCATATAAATATTCCAACAGCTCCCATTAGCAAAGTAAACATGGCCCACATTACTTAGCAACTGTCTTTATTGTGCCAGTAAGTCCAGACAGACACATGTTAAGGACACAAATGTGTCTTGGAAATGTCTTTTTTGTAGAAAAATGTTAAACATGATGACAACAAGTCTTTGTTTGTTCTTGACTAGATTATTTTACTGGCAACTTGTTTTGACATAAATAAAGTTTAATAAACTAAAAATAGAACTTAGCTAGGCTTTAATAGCAAGAATGATGAATGTTTCTAGCATTTTTGTTGCATACCTAGTTTAAATTAATGATGACCATTATTAATACTTTCTACTATAAATAAAGTAATCAATCATCATCTACAGTTCCACTTATCTTTGTGAGTGTACACTTGCTTGAGTACACTAAGCTCAGGAAATGAACTAGTGTTCCGTCAGGATCAAAGTAATTCATTATACCCCTGGTATTTATGTTTAGTTTACTGAACTGAACTCCTGGTGCCTTATTTATTACTTGGGCATCTGAAGTTTACCTCCTGAACCTGTTGGAAAATTCCTTGGCAAACAGCTTTGTCTCTCATATCTTTGTACAACAAACTTTCGATAGAGACTTCCAATGTTCTTAAACTGCTCTTTTTGCATGACATTATACAACTGTCCCCAAAGGGGAGGAAAACAGTGATGGATATAAAATTAAATGTGTGTACCAAAATGCAAAGCATCAAGGTATACATCTAGCACTATCCTAAACAAAATGCAATCACTATTGCACAGTTTATTTTTATAACAATCAGCATTCACTGTTTGACGGGTTCCTTCATAAATCCCATTCTGCGCAGCTTTCTGACAATCAGTGGGGTACATGTAATCGTCATTAACATTCTCACCGGAGCAAACACTTTATGACAAGCATATGCCACAACAAATGTACTTGCCTCTGTTGCAACAGAAGAATCACTGACTTTTGGACTTACACCAATACTGTGGAGAGCTGCTTGAACATCGATTCCACTAGGACATGAAGATAAGACTTTTTAAACAATTAATGCAGTCTACTTGTTTCTCTTTAAATAAATATTACTTATCCCAGTGAACCTGTTTGCAAAACAAGGTAGGTAAATTCTCCTTATATTTCCTTTTGAGCAAGAGGGTTTATATTTAAATATTATGCAAAGTCCACAACTACAGTAAAAAAGCTTTTTAAAAAATAGAATGAAACATTAAAAGGCAACTAACCTTTTCACAGCGGCATAACATAACCCAAGTGAAGTGAGAGAAATGGAAACATGAAACACTATTGCAGTGGTTCCATACTCTTGAACGACTGACTTCAATCTGTCCCTCAGAGAAAGTTTATTCTCATTTCCCTCCTGAGCCGCTGCGTCTCCTTTCCACGAACTGTTGCTGTGTTTTATGACCGAAGAATGCAGTGGCCTTACAATACTCAAGTTGGGCAACATGAAAAATCCATCTCTCGCAGGAGTTTGGACAGAGTGCAATTCAGTTTTGGTAGTATAATTTCTAAGCGGAACGGCTAGGGCCCTCGACTGTCTCGCAATACATACAAAGTTTAGCACAGTGTGTCGCACAGACAAAGAACCTGCCATGATTGCTTAAAGAAAATCAGCCTAGCTCATACAGATTGAACCTGAAACACTTGCTGAGCGTGACGTGACAAAATCTACCAGGCGTATCTTCTAGCTCCCAGGCATACCCGAATGTGGTGAGCAATCATTCATGCAAACGAGGCTAATAAAATGAGCTTTCTTCGCGATCAGGCGGTGTGCGTCACGAGATTCGACCAATCAGAATGCGTCATTTGTAGAGTGATTTTCGCGCTCGGAAAGAGCTGTTTGCAGAGGTATACGTGGTGAAATTTTCGCTTTATTCCAAGCTTGTGTTGGTAATTTCGACACTATACCGCCGTGGAAAGTTGTTGGAACACTTTATCTTGATAGCAGTTGCGTTACTTTTAAATATTTTGCTTTCTTGAGCGTTTGTGACGAGTTTGAATTGCTCGGTCATGTGCGGGCCGCCATGAGGATTTGAATGTTGTTTTTGCCGTTCTTCTTGGATTTATTGCTGGTTACTGTTAGCGGTTTTATCGAATTATTTTGGCCATCTTGTTACTTCAACCCTTCTTCTTTGCAATTTTCGGGGTCTACCCGGGTCTACCCCTGTTAGTTTTCCAGTTATGAGCCGTTGAAAGTGTCTTGGAATTAAGACATCGTCTCAGCCAAGTGGCACAACTCCCGGGAAACGGGCTGAGAAAACATGCCGAAGCGGAAGCCGACGTGAAGCGAGTAACGCCAAATCCAGGAAGACTTTGTTCTATTTTAAACCACAAAAGGTAAATAAGTTTGAATATTGTAATAACCTTTGGAAACAAGACATTTTTCATAACCCACTGCGGAACTGAAAGCGGGACTTTAAAATAATTTGCATGCGGTGTGTGCTATCTTTGTGTAAACTTTAATACGTGAGGGAATGAATTGTTATAAATCTCTACCAAAACACAACACCATTATCGAAGATCCAGACAACATACAGGATTTTAAAACTGTGAGGATGGGTTTTACTTTATAACAAAATCGATATACTGCGCTCACTTCAATGACCGCACAGACAAGATCGTGGTTTATTTCACTGTTTATTTCTGCGGCTGTAGCTTCGGTGAAATTCCGATTGTGCTGCAGCTGTTCGGCTCTTTCGGTCCGTTTTCCCCTTGCCTGATTGAAGATTTATTTGCTTATAAGGATTTCAAGCGGGCACTGTTTTCAAAATAATATAAACTTGTCGATGAAAATAAAATTGTTATGAGAGACGATTTCTCACCTTGCTGTTTGCACGCGCTCCCCCTGCTTTGCGGGTAAGAAAGTCCATCAAATATGTAAACACTTCTAATGAATGAATTTTTTTTTAGTTAAGCAAATCCAGGTATGAACTACATATCTCTTTAACTGTGAGATAAAAACATACATATAAACCAAACAGTACATAAAATCTTATGAGAAGCAGGAAATTAGTCGCCGCTCAAAGTCGGCTAGATCGCACGATCGTCTCCGAATCGCGATAAACTTCTTGAAATTGTCTTGTGAAGCCAATAGCAAGCATCTAAGGCCACTATGAGATCTTGAAATTTCTCGAAATCGCTCTCTTGCGTAATGTTTTTCGGAAAAGGCAGCAGTGTTTTGATCCCTGGGTTTGATTCATTTCTCTTACGAGATGCGAACTCGTCCGTGTCACGATTGAAATGAGGCACAGTAACAGTTTTACCCATGAACCTTTGTGGGTCGTGACGCACACCGCCTGCTTCGCGATATAGAAAGATTTTCTTCTGGGAAATTAAGGTCCGTACAAACCAAAGTGACAACCGCGGAAGGCAGGAAGGTAAAATAGCACTATTATAGTCTGGTAGTGGAGATTACACCCCTATATTAGGTACGGTCTAACAATGTTAAACGGATAACTATTCGGAAACTGGGGGTAATACGGTATTTAAAATATGCGTGTGTCATCGGCTTGCCCCAGGGGTAGCCCCCCGCGCCAACCAGGAGGATTGTAAAATGGGTGGAGCAAAGTTAAGGATTTTCCCCCGGGGTAGGGAATAAGACAAAGTCCCCTGGGTAAAGTCGTTCTCAACGAAAAATCCCCCTGATATCCACTTCAAACAACTGGGATTCACTTGACAGGTCAGCATTAGATCCCTTTGGCCGTAGCCCCTTTCTCCCCTTCAGAAATGTACACAAGGTAGAACTGTTTTCTGCTTTTATATCACACTTAGATGATATTTCAAGCTGAAAATGTTCATGAAAGTGCAAGTCTCTTCAATTTAAAGAGGGGGGAGGTACATAGTAGAAAGGAGGGAGAAATGACCCGGAAAAAGTAGGGAGGAAGGAGAACTCTTGTTGAAAATGGGATGGGGGAACAGGGAAAATGAAATACACACTGCAATCCCCCTGGGTCTCCTGGGACTCCCTTGGTTGGAACTTAATCGAGAAAGCATAGAATCAAACTTTGATGCATCTCAGGTCCCCAGGTTTAAAACTTGATAACAACACACAACCCCTGCAATAAGGCATAAAGGAACTTATCTGTCCTTCATGGCTTCGCTGTAACTAATAGGTCCTTAAGGGATTTTCCCTTGCGATATGATATGAGGGGAGGCAACTTAAAGATTTCTCTTAGTCGTTGTTGGTTTTGTATAAGGTGCCATTTTCCCATAGTATTTTCTTCAGTCTGAGTACAGCCAGGTGGTATAATATTTGTGTGACAAAAGGTAGTAGTTTTTTAGGTGCAGATTTGTTGCTCTCCTGAAGGGCTGTTTTCCTGTTGGCGAATTTTTACTCAGAGAGCTACTTTCTCACAATAGAGACAGGGTAGCCTCTTTCTATCGGGTGATTTTGAAATTTTTGATATTTCCTCAAAAGTGGTTTGAGAGGAATCAGTCCTTAGACGCCTGAGCACTTGTCATTTAATGAAGCATTCCTTCACACCTGGTAGTTGACACGAGTGCGTGAAAGGCTTCTGTTGGCTCATGGGCTCATAACTGGTTTATAATGTGTTCAGCATGTCTAGGATTGGTTCCTTGTTGAATCTAACCCCTTTGTACACTTTTGTGTCCCAGAAAGTGATCTCTGTTTCTGACATCTCTGCGGTGAATTTGATAGTAGCTATAGTGTGAAAGTTATTTGCCTTTTCCATGATTTAAGCTCTCTATTTTCAGACTTGTCTTCCATAGGAAAAACACGCTGTCAATATATCTTTTCCAAAGCAGCAGTCAATTACCCTTTGTGCCCAGAGACTTTTTATGCACAGTTTCCGGTATGGTGACCCAGGCAAAAAGCTTTTTTCTCCCTTTTTTTGTCACAGCTTCCCCTCTAGTGACTTCTGCCTTCGGCCAAAGATCCAAAGCATCCCGCCGCGCGTGAGAAAAATCCTCTGGTGACCAGGGTATGGTTCAATACAACTCAATGTTTATTTCTCTATTCTGGCCATGAAAATATGAGCAAAAGCAACGGCCATCTCCGTTCCCGTGGCTGTTCCATGGGTATGTAGGTAGTTGCTCCTGCAAAATTGGAACAAGTTTTCTGTTAGTATAAGATAGAGTATTTCCCTTACATACTTGGTAGGTCCCGGGAAGGGGGGGAATTCCTGGGACTTTTTGGTGGGCATGTGATGCCCAGTTCTCCAAATCCCGACCCTATTTCAGACTAAAAAATGTTATTTTCCACACCCGTTTTCAGACTATATATAGGTAGAATGTA